GATATCAGAGATGCCAGGCAAGTGCTAGGGCTGCTGAAGCAGTACCATGGCCTTCTTCATAAATGAGAGGCAGGCAATTAAGAAAAGAGCAAGTATGACCCACTAATCACACCTGACTTCCTGGATGTTAGTGAGCGGCAAAAACTATAGTTTCCGGTGAGTGTGCTGTACAGTGTTGCATAGAGCTCTGGACTACGAATTGGGCCCATTGTGGTCATTTCCTACTTGCCAGGGGCTGTTTCTCATTGAACAATTTCTGAAACCCAATCCCCACAGAAGTTCAGTCTCATGGAGGTGCTCAGAAGATGAAATCAGGAGTGTTTGAAGATCATCCATAGTGACCTGCTTGGAGAAACATTTTATATCAATGAGCTGTCAGACTCCTTATGTCTGCATCCAACGTTAAGATTCTGTTAACAAAAGAGACCACATATATTTAGTGTCAAAGGCTTTATAACAGGAGTCAGAACGTCTGGCTCTGCTTCTGAATAGGTCCTCCGATTTCCAGTCCGTGGTGACTTCCAGAACAAATATCCTACAGTTATTCATAAATCAAGCAATACATTATGAGGAAGAATGCTGGCAAGACAGGCCCGTGTGGGCTCATACAATCCTCCTAAAATCAATTATTAATGAAGTCTTTGGCTTGCAGATGTTGTATGCAGGGATTGGTCTGGTGCCCACAATGTGATCTTTTGTTCCTATTTACAAATCAAGGCTATTGTAATCAATAAAGCCTTGTTAAACATTACTAAGGGAGAGAGGGGGTAAAAGGTGCAACGTGAATAACCTATTACACCTATGATTGTTTATCCCCTGATTTAAAATGTCCCTTTCTACTCTTGCTGGATTCTTTCACTGCTATGGTACATTCTTGCACTAAACATACTCTAATGCAGGTATTATTTATTTGTTTAAAATTCAAGGAAAGTCATTTCAGACTGATTCTCTGAACTGGCACTCGTTTTGTTACTAGACTAATGATTAAGGGTTTTGCCAGCAAGGATGAATTGGAAAACTGGGTGCTTCAGATGAAACTAAGACCAAGAAATAGTAACTAAATTGTTTATTGGCTTATGGCAAAAGCAATTAATTGAATAAGAATGTCTGGCATTTCAGTATTTGTTTTCAGTCAGAAAAATTCTTGCCTACTAAATGGACAGGTCTCTAGATAGATGCTCCGTATGCAGTTACAAAAGGTCAAGGATTAACTGAGAGCAGCTTTCCTGATGAAATCTTGTTCTACAGAACTTTACCATCTGAATGTGTTATTACTTGAATTCAGCTAAGATGCAGCTTTAGCTTAGTATGAACAACCATGGTGATAACAGGTAACCGTATAGGTAGCTCACTTGTCCAAATCCCTAGTCTAACACCTTTACATTTATTCATTCATTTAATCTTCACTACAACCTTATGAAATATGTTTTCTTACACTCCCATTTCACACATATGGAAATTGAGAAATTAAATATTTTGCCTCATCGTGGTAAACCCAGGCAACCTCTTTCCGGAACTCCAGAATTTAGCCAGGTGCCCCTCTAGTGGCATTTCCATTCTGTTTTTTACAGAGAACCTATTATATAGGGTGAAGCTTTGCATATTTAGAAACACAGATAATTCATATCTACTAACAGAATCTGATCTTCACCACTAGGAGATGCCGTAAATTGTCCAGTTTGATTGTGCCAAAAGTGACCCCTCACGCTATTCACCCCACGCAACAGGCTCTCTCTATATCCTGTATCACTTGACTCCCGCCTCAAAGACCTGGGGCCATGAAAAATGTCTTCTATGGGGCTGAAGGTGTAGCTCAGCAGTAAAGTGCATGCCTAGCATGTGCAAGGCCGTGGGTTCAAGGCATGTGCAGCCCCACCAAATAAAATGGTTTCTTCTATCTGTGTGCAGAATTCCACTCACTGCAGTTATGGTGAATACGTGTAACCCCTCTTCCTCACAATGCCCTTCAAAGATCTGGAAGAGTAATTATGCACAGTCTTAGATGGCATTCTTCCTGGCTCCTTGTTCGCCATTCTAGGGCTTTATATTGAGAGCCTATCTCTGTCCTCCGGGCTTTCTAAACTTTGGTGAGATCCCTTTTGATATGCAGGACTGAAAAAGAATACAGTTGTCAAAGACCCAAATAAGCCCCAAAGATGGCCCCATGACTGTAGGATGCTTCTTTCCATGCCACTAAGATGTCCTAAATATCCCCCACTGGACAGATGACCACTTCACATCACCCACCCACATCCAATTTACAACCCACCCTGATTCCAGCAGGCTTTTTACATATTCAGTCAAACTTGCCCCATTATGTATTTTTAGCTACCTTTTTAAAGAGAAATGTAAGATTAAATATTTAATCACTAATAGCCAGGTCCCTCCTCGAGCCTATAGGGGTGGGAGGGAGCAGAGGAGAAAGGAGGAGAATGGAGAGAAAAACATTACTCTGCATTCATTCTACCCCAGCAGTTCTTTCTATGTACACTAAAGAAATTCAAATAGCCAGTTAATTAGCTTACAGATATAATTAATTTTTTGAGAAAGTAAAAACAAAAAATAGTATTAGCACGGAGCTAAGCTGGACCTTGACATAAAGGTAACCAAAGCAAAAGTTCCAATAACTTTCATAGCCTAGGGCTATTTTCCTATATGGTTTCCCTTGTGGAAATGCAATCAATTAGTTGTTATAATTTTAGACATTTGTCAAAACAAGAGCCAGCATGTCACAGAGCCAACCTGAAGTTTGTGGTATGTGGGTCTTTTATTTTTTCACTTGTGACAGTTTGCATGCACAAGAGATTAAACCTAGGGAAACTGTTAATTGGCAATCTTAGCCAAAAGCCTGAATTTAGAGAATAAAATATCCCTTCAGGGGGCTGGGGATTTAGCTCAGCGGCAAAGCGCCTACCTTGCAAGCGCAAGGTCATGAGTTCAGTTCCCAGTACCGGAGAAAAACCAAAACCAAAAAAAAAAAAAAAAAATCCCTTCAGGACATCAGTAGCATCAATGAACACACAACCTCAAAAATAAGAGCATGATTATTCTTATTTTTACACAATTGTTCTTTATGTTGCAAAAAGTTTGTTAAAATAATGCATAGCTACATAATCCCACACACAAGCTACAATAGATTTTAATCTGTACATACCAAAGGAGTTTAAAATATTAGTGTGGTCAGAGATGTGTTTCCTTTTCCTTGCAAACTTTTTTCATAATCTTTTAAAATCACAGAATACATGTCAACTTTCAAAAGCAACCAAAAAAAGTGGAACATAGATTTTAAATAATAAGAAATAAACCGCTCAACTTTTAGAACGATATATTCCCCTTGCCTGTTTTTTCTTGGTTTGGTTTGGTTTGGTTTGGGGGTTTTTGGCTACAGGATAGAACCAACTGGTTTTAAATTATAATGTTAGTCATCTTTATTAGATGCTTTGAAATTTAGTGAGTTGACATGAAATCTGAAAGACATATTAGAAATTCCACTAAATATAGGTAAAAAAAAAAGGAAAAGTACCTTTTTTTAACTAGATAATTTAATTATAGTAACAGAAAAATTCACCCTGAAAATTCAGAGCATTCAACTGAAAATTCAGAGTATTCAACAAAAGAGATGAAAGCAGAATTTTTCTAAGAATGGTTTGTCCATGGGTAGTGAAATATATGTATATTTCAGGAAAAGAGCTATATATCTACGTCTGCACTTTCAGTTAAAGTTATCTGGCTTTCTGAAGTCTTTTGTTCTACCATCTTTTCTTTAACTTCTACATTTAGTAAAGCCACATGGTATGTGGTTTTCATTTCAGATATGTTTTGAGTATTTACTCAGTTGAAATTCATTGTAAAAGTGCAAATCAAAAGTAGATCATCTCAGCTCAGCAAAAGTCTCATTTTAAAAGATCAATTTGTGACCCCCAAATGGTAAAAATATGGATTCTAGTCATCTCCTCATTTTTAACATAAATAAATGTGTCCTTGAGATTTATGACCTAGGAGAAATCTTGTTTGCTATCCAGATGACTTGGGAACCCAGGAAGGAATGTCACTGGAGGAGGTTTTGGCAGGAGTTTGGAGTACAAAGCACAAAAAACACAAGGGGAGTTCGAAAATATTTGGAAAACTCAAAAACAATAGCATGTGTTAATTCTTAGCTGCTCTACGGCTAGCTTTCATTCTCTACTTCTTTTACCATTGAGGTCCATGGCAACAGAGTGACGAGGGACCCTGTGGCTTGCTTTCGTGGAAGATATTTGATTCTATGGTATGGTGTGGCTTAAGATGCTTGCATGTTTATTATGGCAAGGGAAACAATCTTATCTGTGATTTAAAACAGACATCTATGCTAAGTTTATGACTAGAGATCTCCTAACATAATCTCCACTTTCCAAGACAGAAACAATAAAAACAAAACAAAGAAACACTCCATGATGCAGAACTGCAGCTAAACATTTACACTCAATAAAACATATTGCATGAATAACTGATATTTAAACTAGTAATTTTGAAGATTATAAAGCTCCAGAGACATTTCTGGATTCCAAATGAAAACCCAGCATTAGGAGAGACCAAGGCAGAGGAGCTGTCAGAGACACAACGCAGAGGTGGCCTTCACGCTCTGCCTGCTTAGATTTCTGGTTCCCAAGGGCCTTAAAAAACTGCAGAACCACTAACTTTGAATGAATTCACTAAATAATTATTGCTGAAGATATCTCAGACACAAGTAAATTCTTTGTAAATACAAATGTAAATTGTATTTAAATAAATACAATTTGTGTAAATTCTTTTCAAATACAAATGTATTGTAAATTCTTTTCAAATACAAATGTATTTAAATATATAAAAGTCAACCTATGGGGCAGGGAGAGCTTTTAAGGGAAATTTTCAGCAAATTAAATGAGTACATTTTTTAAAACATTCATCAGCCTCTTATCATTTTTGAATCACTCTCTCCCCTGAAAGGTAAAGCCATATATCCCAAGCTCAGTGGCACCAACCTTGACCTCTCTTCTTCCATTCTTTTCTTTATGGTTGCCCCATGTTCAGTCAGTTAACAAGTTCCCTTTGTTCTCTCTCAAGCAAGTGTGTTTCAAGTTCGTCCCTTCTTTTGCACTCTCCCAAGAGCTGTTCTTACCCAAGGTCTTATCAGTTCTCCACCTGGATCCTAGGGGTGTGATTCTGAAAGCCAAAACAAACAAATAAACAAGAAAAACAGATCTTCACTCACTTATTCAAATGACTTTACTGGTGTCCCAGTCTTTATGGTCTACACTGCTCAGGGCATCTGAAATGTGTGTTGTCCTAGGCCCTGCTGTCTCTGCATCCACCTCCAGTGTGGAGCCATCCTCTATCATTGCACAAACCCACATACCTCTGCGCCCCTGTGCATATGCTTCAAACACCCTTCGTCTCAAGCATTTCTACAATCCTGGAATTATTTCCCCTCCCACATTTTCTGCTTGACTTCCACACATCCTTCTAGACTCATGTCAATCTAATACAGACAAGACACAATCACAGGGAGATTCTCCAAAGAATGATTTATTTTTTGCACTGCAAGGAGAATACACATGGCAGAGTAACCTAGGGGCCTAGTCAAAGGGATTGAGACAAGGGAATGTTTTCAAGGACGAAAAGGAGGGGGATTAAAACAGATACTGTCAAACAGTTTTCCTTGGCCTCAATGATTAATAACAAGTGGTGGCATTTCAAGGTTGGACAGATAGTTGCTGGGAAGTTACCCTTGTAGAAAGATTCTTTGCTGAATGTTGCAGTGACCTTTGTGATTCTGACAGTGTCTCTGTGATGGTTATCAGACAATTAGGTATAACAATCCTTGACACAGCTCCAATTTGATTCAGATAACTGTCACATTTCGTACTCAGCAATTGTTATCCCCTTGTAAATTCTTTCATGGTGTCCTTAAATTGAGTACAAATTCCTTTCTTTTTGCAGACTCAACCCATTACATAAGCCTTCTTTTAAGCACGTATTTCATTACATCATACTCGTTTGACTGGTTCGTTGTCTTTACTGTCTTGCATAGTGAGGTCTTCGGGGACAGTGATTCTTGTGCTTCATTTTGGCATCACAGAGTTTAGCTAGGACTTAACAGAACTCAATGCACTCTTGAAGAATGAATAAATAAAAGGATACATCAAAGCATGTTTAGTTTAGAATATATGTGCTGGAAACTTCAGAGAAGGAGTTTAGCAGACAAAAGTAGAGACTTACAGCTGGTGGGTAAGTTAATCCCAGATCCAGTTCCCAAAGTCATATATTCATTCATACATGCATTCATTTATTTCACAAGCGTTTGCTCAGTGCCTACCGTGTTTACGCACTATCCTAGGTGCTAGAGTAGCACAAATAATAAAATACACTTCCTGCTCTGAAGGATTCCAGGAGATGCAACAGACAAGAGCTGGGGCCTGGTAGCAGTTGAGGGGAATGGTGTACACCCTGGGCAGAGGTTTCTGTCTCAAAAGTGTCTTGCAAAGCTAGAGGAAGGCACAGCTGGTTGTGGGAGATAGTACATGCAAATGCCACGGAGGTAAAGAAGTTTGTTACAATTGAATGGAATGGGTATAATTTAAGGCAACATGGTTATAAACTCACACTCAAAAAGATACACTTATATTGAAGTCTCAGTTCCTTACCTTTGTCCCCGTGGGGATGTTAAACCTTCTGTAAAGTGGAGGTAATAATACTATCTACCTGATGAGAGTGTTGTAAAAGTTATGTAAGTGTGATACTAACAAAGCCATGATCGGAGGTGCTTGGCACCATTTGAGAGCCCGAGGAGGAAGAGGATGGTTGCTGACACTGCCACACAGAACTGCACGAGATGAGTTGGAGCTGGTCTGAGAGGGCCTTGTGCACCACGCCAGAAAGTTTTAACCTGTAGTAGCTCACTGAAAACCCTGAAAGAATTTTCAGTAGCAAAATGTAAATGATCAGATTCACATCTTCAGATCTCTGTTAGCTATGTCAAGGATGACATTAAAAATTAGCAAAAGATGATCAGTATCTGCAGACCTGAGACAGTTGGGCCACAGTGAGGTCAGGACGGGATCCAGTGATGTAGAGAAGCAGAACCAACAGGACTGAGCCACCTACAGTAGTACAACAGAAAAGAAACTCGGTGGTGATCCTTAGACATCTGGCTCCAGTCTGATGACGGAAGTGGGGGAGCTTCTAAGGAAGAGAGGACACATAGCAGATAGAGACTTCTTGAAGGAAAGTAAGAGTTTTATGTTTGGTGCTGAGTTTCAGAGCCTGGGAATATGTAGGCAGAGCTGCTGGAAAGCTATTAATAAATGAATCTGGTGCCACCAGATACAGAAAAGCAAATACATATTACTTATTATTACTTCAAGTGATGGATATATGTATGGGAAAGTAGGTAGTGTATATCTGAAAGAGGAGATTAACAGGTAGTCATGTAACTATATCATGGGGACACAATATCTTACCAAACTCTCTACTTTAGAGACTTTGAGTCAATTTCAAAGATGCCTAGAAGGAACTCATCCTGTGCTTCAGCCAGCCCTTGGGAGAAAAGATGTGCTTCCCCTTTTCTGTAAGAACGAAAGTTCCATAAGAGGAAGGAACTTTGTCAGTTTTGTTCATTACTATGTTTCCACCTCTTAGCAAGAACCTAACACACATTCAATACTCAATTAGGGTTTGTTTAATAAGTTGTACAAAGGATGAGATTTTCAAATAAATAAAATCTAAATTGTGACATTAGCTGAGAGGACTGCCACACCATGCTTTCTAAAACCTCCCCCTGTAGCTTTACCATTTTCATTTTTCTCCTACCTGATCTGTTCCACATACCTTTATTGGTTTTTGTCTGTCTTCCCATTCCCACGTGAGCTCACTAACCACTGTCTATTCTCACTGCTCGGTCCCTGGTGCCTAGCATAGTGCCTGGCATCAAGCAAGCAGATAAATGGGGTTGCATGAATGTTATGGTTTGTGTCTGGATGTCCCCCCAAAGCCTCATGCAGTCATGGGTGCAGACTTCTAGAGTTATGATTGATCCATGGTCCAAAGTTGGAATTATGGATGTGAGTGCTACACCCGCCCTGGGGCAGGTAGTTTGCATACAGTGTAAGAGAGGGAAAGAGGCTTGCTCTTCCAGCTACCGCTCCTCCCTTTTGCTCTTGCTGCTTTTGCTATCTTCTACCTCCATGAATGGTTGCCCTGTGCCATGTGCCACTCTGCCTTGGAGCCAGCTGAGTATGGACTGACACCTCCACAAACAGTGAGCTAAATAAACCTTTCCTTCCTTAACTTTGGGCATCAGGTATTTTGTCTCAGCAATGAGAGAAAAGTAATGAAAACAATGAATAAGAGAAATTAAGTTAAAATCTGGCTTACATATTAGAGCCATGTCACTGATCAAGTTCTTTTTTTGTTTGTTTGTTTGTTTGGTTGGTTTTTTTCCAGTACCGAGAATCAAACTCATGACCTCACGCTTGCCAGGCAGGTGCTGTGCCACTGAGCTAAATCCCCAGCCCCCTCACTGATCAAGTTCTTTTCCACATATGCAGTAAATTCTTTTTCTCCTACCTCGTGATTGAAGTAGAGCAGGAAGGCTTTCCTCGTCTTTCTCTTCCTCCCCAAATGAGGCATATTACCCACAAGATGCACAAGAGTCCCATTAGAATGAACTGGCTTATCTGAGCAGTGCATGCTAGGAAGTATTTCACTTGCCTTTTCTATCTCTTAACTATTTTTCCTTTCTGCCACAAGATTCAGATTCTGAGACAGGAAAGAGACCTCAGTGACAGCTGCCTCAGCATTCTAAAACTATCAGTTCTATTTTTACTTTACTCATTAGAGGTCTTTTTTTCCTGCAGCATCTTTTAATAAGGCCTTAGTAAGAAAGACTCAAGGAACAATCAAAAGTTTAATGACTTCTGGACTTCATTTCTCCTCTAACTGTGTAGGCTGTGTCTGTACAATGATTACCTGAGTGTCCATTCTCAACTAACTCTTCTGTGTGAGAGGGACACAAACAAAAATAAATGTAACTTCTGGGGAGAAATGGCCCTATGTATCCCACACTACATGAGTACTGTATAGTCAATAACTCTCTTAAGCTTCAGAACATACTTATAAGATAGATTCTTCTTTTAATCCTTCTTTTTATAGAAGGAAAAATTGAGCTCCAAAGAGTTCAGTAGCTTCCCCAAAAGCACACATCTAGAGAATTGACAGTGCCAAGAATTGAAGCCAGGTAGTCTGATGACATTAAAGCTCTGAATCTTAACCACTGTGCTTAATACCATAGGCATATAAGCAAGGCTCAGGGATTAACAAAGAATTGTGTCTTGTGTTCACAACACATAACATTGATTTGTAACTATCCCAAAGGTGGATTTTATTTATTGATAGCAACACTGGGAACGGGAAGGGAGAAGACCATGTGTGACACAATTGAGTAAATTTCCCAGCTTGTCAGCTCCCAGGGTTCAGATAAGAACTTGCACAATCTTGTACATTTCAAACAACTGTGTGTTTTATTGCCTGAATAGCTAGCTTTCTATAAAACCAATGGGCCTGCTTTCAAAATGTGTTTCTTTGAAAGTGACCATTAAAGAATGAATCTCCTGAATGAGCCAGAGATAAAACTCAGTGGTTCGGCTCTGTAAGGAAATAGAGCAGCTGCACTAGAAGACATCCACAGGGGATGCTGGTGAGATGGTCAGATGCACCAGCAGGCTTTGGCCAGGAAACACACTTCAGCAGTAGAGGGTGGGACAGGCAGCTTTCCTCTCTGGAGTGACCAGAATAGCAGTCTAGTCTCCGCCTGATCCCAGTGGCAGAGCACAAGTGTCTATGTCCAGAGCCATGAGAACATGTGTGTCTCATCCACCCACATTGCTTGGGCTGGGTGATACTGGCCCCTGTGGCCGGCCAGCCCATGGCTCAGTGCATCTGTGAAGGTTTCTTTTATGCTCCAAGTGCTATGCTCCCACCTGGGGATTCAGTGGTGAATAAGACCAGATGGGAATCCGTCCTTTCAGAGCTGTTCTGTATTGGAGACAGAATTGAATCAAATCATCTTACCTGTAAATATATTATTATAAGTTCAAATAATTCTAGGAAGCCAAGAAACAGGGACCTGTAAGAGGACAGAATCCAGGCTCCACAGACAATCCAACACTAACAGAAACATGAACCGAGGCTGAATGATCAGGTGGTGGGGTAAGGGTGGACCTCCAGGGAGAGGGAACAGTACATGCAAAAGCCCTGTGGTAGCAAGGCCACCACTGGGCAAGACAGCATCTTTGTGCACATTAGAAAAAATATACCACTTCCTTCAGACCCTTTGCTTCTATTAGAAAATTGTCATAATTTACTAATTTGGGGGCTGGGGATTTAGCTCAGCGGCACAGTGCCTGTCTGGCAAGCACGAGGTCGTGAGTTCGATTCCTGGTACCAGAAAACAAACAAAAAAAAAGAATTTACTAATTTTGTGTTAAAACAAGACTTTTTATAACAATTTTCAAGAAAACTGTTGTTTATACAATTGTACATTAGCTGGAATATTAATGGCATAATACTACCCTGCTTGTTACCATAGTGACCCGTCATGTGTGGCAACTGAGCACTTACAATGTGGCTGGCCAAAACTAAGAGGCTTTATAAATACAAAGCACACATTAGATTTTAAAGATTGGGGGGAGGGGAAGAATATAAAATATCTCTGTTTTTTTATATTGATTGCATGTAAAAAAGACATTTGAATAAATTGGGTCAAATAAAATACTCTCAGACTTAATTTCATTTTTTTTACTTGTTTAGGTGACTACAAGAATATTTAAGATAACATACGTGACTTACATTTCTAGCAAGTTTCTTTGGAAAAGCACTGGTACGTCCTTCCATGGGGTGGCCCTGGGTGTCACACAACCGGGCAAGCGATGCCGTGCACCTGGTTGACAGGAATGGGCACGACTCACAGGACAATTAAAAGAGGCGACAGTCACAGCCCGACCAAGCACAGGAGGCGAGGGGTGAGGTACCACGTGGCCCGGCCAGCCCAACTCTGTCTCCTGAGTCTGGAGAATCTGGCAAGCCTCATCCTTTGTTTCACAATTGATGACATTTCCCGGGGTTAGAAGTCTGTTTCATCTGAAAAAGAGAGACAAGTAAGATAACTTGGCCCACAAGGGGCACAAAGTCAGCGCAGCAGAAGACAGAGGCAAGCAAGTGGCCATGCAGTCCGGCAGGAAAACGCTGTGACTTCCTGGGCTGAGCCCCTAGTGCTAAGTACTCAGGTGCTGTTGTAGAGAGAGGAGCCTGCTCAAACAGTGCAGGGATCTCAGCAGTGCCTGCACGTCAGTCCTGAGACAAATCATCAGGACCCACCTTCCTGACACTGCTTTCCTGCACAGGGTGGCACAGGCAAGGCAGCGACCAGAGACCACGGTGCCCTCCCTCTTCTGAACCCGGGGGCCTCTCCCTCTCCACATGCGGTTGCTTCGTGTCAGTGCACACAACTCTCACTAGCATCCAGGATGAGAACAACGTGTGTCTTTTATCACACCTTCCGATAAGAGAAGAAAGCAGCCAGCTCCCTTAGGGATTCTGCAAAAAGGGGCAGGCAAAGTCTTCACTCGACAACACCGAGGACTGAAGTTGTGGAAACCAGGCACTGGACACAGACTAAAGGATTTGAATTCTGGAGCACAGATCTTGTCTTCGTTTCCAAGAGTTTCCATTCACACTCAGATGAATCAAAGAACAGTTCTAAAATATCAGTGACACCAATTATAGTCCTATGCCAGACACTATACCAAGTCAGGTACCCTTATTAGTTCATTTCAGTCTCTTAAAAAATTTACAAAATGTGCAGAGCTGTATCTGTTCTACAAGTGGAAAAACGGATTCACAGAGAAGTTAATGATTTACCAAACCTGCTCAGAGATGATAGAAAATGGGCCACAGAGGGCTGTATGCAAAAGAGCAGGCTGCTCTGTAATTCGGGGAAAGGAGGATGTACGTGTCCTGCTACACACCCCAGACTTTCTAAAGCAGCGAAGGCAGACCCCTACTTCCTCCAGCTCTCACCTGCTCTCAGCTGCTCCTGGTGTGGTGCGGGCGGAGGTGGGAGAGGCCTGCATAGGAGGCCGGCAAGGAAGCTGTCGCCAGTCTCACCGCGGTCCTGGGAGCACTCCTAGTGTTGCTGCTCTATCCAAGACAGCAATCTGCTAAAAAGGAAGGGTATCCCACTTGGAGCTAGACCAAGAAGTTAGATTCTTAGGTTTTATGTTGACTTGTTCAGTATTCCAAATAAAGGCATATAGCTCTCTGAAAATGTTCCCTAACCCAGGAAATGAAAAGGTAAGTAAAGCTGACTATCCCTAACACACTTCCTCTAACGCTCTGTGATCCACGAACAAACACTAAGCGAAGGCTTTCTCTAGCAGCTGCTGAACTACCAAGAATCTGGCACTGTGAGCGCAGGTCTTGTCCCTCTGCACCGCTGTCGCATGACTTTTAAGTATTGGTGACTGCTGAAACACACTCTCCTTTATAAAAACTTGCTCACTTAGAAATTAATGATAAATTACACGGAAAGATTATTTTCAAGAATGAACAAAGTAGGTTTAAGGAGACCTGAGTTCTGGAGCTAGCTAAGCCATTTCTTCCTTACGTTTTCTTGAATCAATGCCTATCTTTGGGCATCAGCCCATGTGTCAAGTGGGACCATATTAGAATGACACAAAGACACAAACAGGACATGCCCTGAAGAGAACAAAGTTGGCCCACATGTGTGCCTGATTGTTTCCATTTTAATTGTTCATTTATCAGATTGAAATAGTCGTATTAAATATAAACAGGTAAAATATGTGCCTGGTCCCTGCTTCTCTCCAAGAGCTTTGTACTCATTGGATTGCTAAATAGACATTACAGAAGACCGTTTTGGACCCAGCTTCTGTCTCAGGTCCTAACAGACTGGAATAGAAATCAAAATGGAGTCATTCACCTTTCAGTTCCACATCACCAAGCTGCAACTCACTAAGGTGATTTCTCAGCTCCTTGAGAAATCAAGCCTAGAAAGATAACAGCCAAAGGGCCTGAAGAGGCCACTTCAATTAGAATGAAAGTGAAATCCTTCAGCCTGGCCCTTACACACACAGAGAGAAAAAAGAAAACTGAAGCAACCTGCTATAAATTAGTCAGTTATTTTTGTATTGTCCTGTTCCCATCACAGAAGAAAATAACTTTGAAATGACGAATCTGCTTTTTGTTCTTCATTTCTGCTTTTTTTCAGCCCTCTTCTGTCGAAAATGCGAAGTTCCCCACTCTGCCCATGGAAACACGTATCCTGGCCTATGGAAGAAAATGCTGCTCCGTTTCAGAATTGAAAACAGGTACAGTTAAAGTACTTAAATTGTAATTTTGTCCTGTAGCAGTCCACTTAAACTTTACACCAACACTATGAAGTGGATGCTGGGACTGTCTATATTTTATACTCAGGAAACAAAGGCAGCAACAGACTGAGTGAATTTTCCAAAGACACCGCTGCCAAGGTGCCAGATGGCTTTGACCCCGGCAAAGCTTCTCCCCACCACTGTAGCTCAGCGATCAGTCCACAGGGCTCAGAGCTCTGGGTGCCAAACGTATACCCACCCTCCCCTTGTTAGAAAAAGGAGAGACAAATCTGTCTAAAGAGAAACAAGAGCATTGGAAATTATAGATGTTGAAGTATTCAACACAATGAGAAATAGGTTGCTGTTTCTAGGGATTGTTGACTCAAAATGAAGTAATCTTAAAATCTTCAGAGTGACTCATTTTCTTTCATTCAACACATCTGATTTTAAAACATAAAACAATGTGCAAAGTGGCTTCCCTGTTGATTTCTTACAGAGAACCTAAATTGGATGGTGTGTGTACACATTAACTGCCAAGGTCACGGTACAGTGAGACAGCTGCCAGTGTTGCATGGGAAGTAGTGCCAAGCCGCCTCTACTCTGCCTATTGGAGAGACCTCTCCTAATACCTCCAGGTGTCTCACAGCCCAATCCACAGTGAGAGATGCCTATGGGCCCCTGTTCTACACAAACAGGCGCTGGCGCCACTTGACGTCAGCAGCAGCATTAGCACGCCAGGCAGGAGGCCTAATCTTTGTGCAGATAACCTCTGCTGCAGACCAAGCCTCTGCCAACACGCAAGCTGGGCCGCCCTGACCTCCTACACTGACCTGACCTCTCCAGATTGCTCTTTCAATGTACCCGCTGCAGTGACCTTGTTAGATTCCAGAAGGCATAGCCCTGGGGCCCAGATACAGACTCCAGAAGCAGACTGCCTGGGGAGGAGGCAGGCTCTGCTGTGCCCAGCTGTGTGACCCCGAGTGAGCCCCTGGACCTCCCCAGGCCTCAGTTCCTCATCTGCAAAGTGAGGCTTAATGACAGCACCCCCTCGGGAGGACACTGAGGGGCTAAATGGGAACACATCAGACCCTCAGAGCAGTGGCTGATGTGGAATATGCAAGAGCTGCCATTATTGCCATCCAGAGGATTTCAGGACCAGTCACCCCAGTGTCACTTTTCCCTGGTCCACATCTTAAGATAACACAACTGTATCATTCTTTTCTTCTGATGTAATTCATATATCATAAAATTCACCATCTTAAAGTGTAAAGTTCCCTTATTTTTAGTATATTTGCTATGTTGTTCACCCATCACCACCATCTAACCCCGGGTGCCTTCGTCACCCCCAAAAGAAGCTCTACACAACAGTAGTTAGTTCTAGGCCCCTGCCCCACACTGTTACACCCACCAATCTACTTGCAATCTACAGATTTGCCTACCTGGGACATTTCACATAAATGCTCTCCTACAACAGGTGGCCTTTTGTGACGAGGACACCAGCAGAAAAGAAGTCCTTACACAAAATAGTAGGACTCCACCACCCCTCCCCCCAAAATAACAAAGCATCAGCTCCACTGCTCTTAGTAACAGCTCTCAGTGGGCTGACAGGAGGAGGCTCAGCTTGATTCAGGGTTTTGAAACATTTTAAGCTTTGAAGCTCATTTTCCATCCCACGTAACACAACAGAGATACAGCACAGCAGGCCTATTGTTCCATCCTCCTCTTCCCTCATCGTGTCAACAGGGTCTGCTGAATGCCCAGATGACTAGTCTCATTACTAATTACCTCCCCCGCTAGGAGACAGACTCCTTCAGACCTGACCTATCGGAGGAGACTTGAGAAAATCTTCACAAAATGATAAACTGCTTCCAACCCAAAGGATCCCAGAAACTCCGTGGGTTTAAATGACACCAGTAGTGGCTCTTGCTTAAATAAAAATATACTGAGGCCATCTTTTGCCCTGATGGGTGCTATTGAATTGCTTAAAAGGAAGAAAATCCCACCATGGCTCTTAGAAAGAAAAAGACAGTGCAGAATAAAAGATATCTCAAATGTATTCCCGAGTTCTCAAATCCCTGAGGCCTCTTGACACATGGTCCTAGGGGAGAATCACAGCAAGGAGAAGCAGTAGCTTCAGCCAACTGTCCATCCATGAACTAACAGAAGAAAGTGAGCACAGCCTCAGCCTCCGGACTCTCAGACCTCTCCCTCCAGGTGGCCAGTGAGCCACAGAGAGCCGGGGGCAACAGCCCACCAGTCCAGGCATCACAATCAACAAGGATTCTAATTTTAGGGAAACCCATTAAAGACACATGTTCATGAAAAGCACGGTAAGCCAGATTTATATTTTGTAGCTGAACCTTTTCGGTAGCTGGGTATAAACACTATGACTATTTGGTGTATTATGGTGATTGTGTTCATTGCCCAACTATGGGACTAGATAATTTTATTCGGAAGAAGATAGTAAAAATACAATAGACTTGGACCCAAATCATCTAGTTTAAATTTTGATTCATTCACTCAGTACCATTGTGAGGTTTGAAGACTTTTCTTTCTAAAAGCAAAACAACAATAGTCCCCATGACCCTTCCAGAACTGAGAGTCTCTCACCATTGAACTAATAATACCGTGTTGCACCATCGTGAAGTATTACAGGGCAGAACTCCTGAAGTCACATTGAAGCTCGAGGAAAGCTAACGCATGTGGTGACTTCTGCCCCACTGAGCAGCGGGCAGGAGTTCTCAAGCTCACCAGGGCTTGAGAACTGAATAAATTCTCCTGACAGCTACTGCTCTTTAGTCAAGTCAGTCAAATCATTTGGGTAAAATGAAAGCTTTTTTTTTTTTTAAAGTAGCAGTGGATTGATAACAAAGACGCACTTATGGCCCTTGATTTTAATTGTCACAGAGACAGTGCATTCTGACTTCTCTCTAGGAAAACCAACATTCTGAAGGTTTCGGGCTCTAGGCTGACTGACAATCAAACAACAGGAATGAGGAGTGGCAGAGCATGAAACAGAAGCTATGTGACTAGTACCTGAGGAGCACAGGGCTAATTATAACAGGGACCTAACGCTGAGCTCCATTTTTATGGGTCATGCACAGTGCTTCCCTATTTGAGGACCTGGAAGAGGTTGCTTTGTTATCCAAGTGGACCCTGCCTTTCCTGCCAACAGCTAATGCTCCCAGTGCCCAAGTGACTTCTCTGATTACATGATTAGTCTGGCCAACTGGGATTTCTGTCTTCTAGGTCAGCTTTCTTTATCAAAGGACCCAGTGGTGATCTCTGCACATTCTTCCTTCACAGTACCAAGTCTACCCATTACAGTGAGGTCATATTATACTCTGGCCCAGTCTGAAAGGATCTTGAGTCCTACTGTACGTACTGTGACTATTCATGAGGCTGGGCGTTGCCTTTTATAACTTCTCAAGAGTTACAGCTCCAAAGTACAGCATGAAAACTCAGGAACAGATCTGTAAATCACACAGTTTACATGCAAACGTGTTCAAACTGCCCCCTGGGATTAAGCTCAGCTTGCATTTCCAACTTATAAAAGGGGACCCACACCAGTAGAAATCGTGAATTGAAAGCAGACCCTATTCCATTTGGGCTTCCTTTCTATCCCAGAGATTTTCACATGGTTTTGTTTCACAATCCATGTGAACAAAACCAGATAGATCAGCTTT